CAACGCTGCCAGTTCTGTTAGCTCTACGCCTGCTGAAGACACAGACGTCCATCCCCGTGAACACTGGGACGAAACTCAATGGGAAAATAAATTATTCTTATTTCTTATTTCAACCATTGCATATATTAGCTGCGACATGAATCAAGATGCTATGGCCGAAAAAATTTGATTGACAGATGACCGTTGATATATGGCCGAATTTATGTGTTCAGGCTGACGTATAACCAACTGGCCTACAGAAGATAACGGGAAAAAAACATAGATTATAAAGACAAGTTTTTTTTAAAAATAGGAATGTTTTACAGTTTGGGACAATATAGCCTGATAAAGAGTACATTTATATACATGTTTAAGCCAGAATGATCTGACATTTAAATAGGACTTACCTACGACTTTAAGATTGACAAGTCTTTATACGTAGGGCTAAAATACTTCCCTGGAGGATTTCCATAACTTTATCTCCATAATATGATGACCAATGCATCAGTGGATGATATCTAGAAATAAATATATGCAGCAGCTAAACATGAAGCTGTGTGAGGCGAGCTGAATGCACCTACCAGTGCCAGGTGTCCTTGGAGCAGCTGAGTTTGGCTTTGGCTCCACTGCTGCCATCCAGAACCACTCTGGATGCTGCTCTAGGAGCCAACGAATCAGAAACGCTCACAGCTCCAGACAAACTGAAACAAGAAAGACATCGAGAAGTCTGTTAGGAATGGGGATTAAATTCAGTCTGGAAGAAAAAACAAAGAACAGCCTAGAAAGGAAGGGGCAGGAAAACAGCTGAAGGGTTCATTCAAATGTCTTTACAAAAATTAGATGCATTTTCCTCTCACTGAGGGACTCAAGTGGAACGATATTAGCAACTCTAATGAAGTGAAAACAGCTTTTCCCAGATGAGCTTTGCTTCTGTTCAACAGTCTGGAAGAGGTGGAAATATCTGGATCTAGTCCGCCCCATTCCTAAGGGCTGGACCCGTTCGTCCGGTTCAGTTTGCATGTTTTCTAAGCCAAAACAAGGCTTTGTTTTGATCCACTCTATAAAGCCTTGAACTCAACTCTATTTCTGACATTTTGAATTGAAAAAGCATCCTGGATGGGAAGCAAAATGTCTTCAGACTTGGAAACAAAGTTTCTACTTTTTTGGA